TTCTGAAATTTGTAGAACACCTAAACGTCATGAAGTTCATATTTCAAATTAGTTCTAATCACTGTCAAATAAAAGACAGCAGGTGTACTTTCCAATCGTCTCACTGAGCACAGCTTATCATTTTTCGCTCTCTCACGTTGTAGTAGTTAAATAACGCTACCCTCACCTGCTAAAATGTCAGCTTTCGACTGTATGAATAGTCGTGTGACTGACAATTGAATACATTATGCATATCCCAGCATATATATCTTTCAGAAGAAGTGCTTTCGAAATATTCTACACAAAATTGATACGTAATAATATTCATTGACAATTTAAGTAAGTATACTATAGATGTGTAGTGATCTACTTTTATGAAGAGAGTGTAGTGGAACACTTCTACGAAGAAAACGCTATTGGTAAAAAATCAACATTTATTATTGTACTCGTTTTGTTTAACCGTACCAAAAAACACTTCTTGCGCACGACGTCCTTCTTGCGTCGCTACTCTTTATGTAATGCCTACTTTATCCTCCAATAAAAATTCGAACATGGATTTATTTTGATTTATGTGACGGGATAGTGTGGAACATTTAATGGTGATCATAGTCAATCTCAACTCGGTCACCACTAAAAGAGCGTGATTGGATTAGTAGGAAAATTCATTATTATAACCAATTGTACCAGTGATTATTTCATTGTACTCTGTCCACGCAAACTTTCTTTTTATTTTACTGCCATTTTGGCTCAACTATCTCTGTAATTTCGCCCATCTTTTCCAGCACGATTTCGATATCCCTTCAATACCACGAAATTGCCAGCAAATATATTCTTTAGTATGGATTATTTTATCTTCTCTGTGACGTGCAAGTAATTGGTCTGTAATGGTGATCTCAGTCAATCCCTACTCGCGCCGCTCTAGGTACATTGGAATGCATTCACACAGATCTATTGCCGACAAGTCATTTGTCGATTATTTCATGATCACATGATTGTATCCTTACGGAATATCGCAGATGAGATTCCCGATTTCATGGAGGATATGATTACTACTGAAAGAGCATACTTAGTGATAATCATATGAACAGCGAAATAGGAATGAGTACATCTAAATATCTGCTCAAGATTTCAGACCGCACTAGCACAAACAGATTAAACCGAGAGTTCAAATCCCATAATAGTAGAAGTAGTAGTAGTAGTAGTATTAATATTCGAAAAGATGAACCATCACAGATGTGGAATGAGAATTTAAAAACCAGTGAAACAAACTTAAAAAGAAAGGTGCTGAGGGATTAAAAGGCTTGGTGTTTGAAGGAAGATTAGAAACAAATCCATCTACACCATCGCAAACCGTATTGAGCCATGTATTCGAAAGTCTCTAGACCTCAGTTAAGGTTGTCTAGTGAACCCTAACCAGGTAGTGTCATGGTTCAGTCCAGATGTAAGTGACTTTATAGGCTAGTGTTATTTTTTGGATTGGCCGCTCCCAGCTTTTTTCTAGCTTATCCCTACACAAGACAGCGTCGGTTGTTTAGGTAGCCGGTGACTAGGCAAACATAACGCTTGTAGCAACAACCTCAACTGATGAAGATCCACTACTTCATTTATTGATCTGCCACCCTTCCCCAATACCCTTTGCCTTAACACCAGCATGCTTACTCGGTGATCCTAGAATACGTGAGCAATGCTTTGAAGACATGTGATAGAATAGCAATAAACCACGAATGTCCCTTTTTCTTAACGACCATGTTTCATGCAAATAAAGTATGGCATAGTAAACTGTTGCAGAGTAAGTTCATTTTCTGGTTGGCAAACAGATATTTTGTCTGCTCAACAAGTGAAGCCAGCTGACAAAGAGAGTCAAGCTTTTCGAGTTCACGCCGAACATTCACCAGGCAACAACCCGACAGATTAGTAGGGAGGTAAACCCACTTGAGTTCTTCCCTCCTCAACATTAATTCAGGCTACCTCCGGTCAATTGTTTAACAGTGTCTTGCATTTGGAAGAAAAGAATCGCGTCACAAATAGGCTAGATTGTTACCTAAGGTCGTTAGAGGACTCCATATTCCGTCAGCATCTTCAGCAGACATAACTGCATCTTTTGCGTATTTCAAGTAAACAAGTGAATCTCTTGATCAAGTAAGCAGGAATCTATAGAACTGACGAACCTCCTTTAGTACATTTTTCAGTGATGAACACTGTTACATGATCTCACGATCCACAGAGTAAAATGCCTCCATAAAGTTGAGGAATATTATGGTTGCGGGCCGCATGAACGTGCGTCTATGTTCTGGGACATGAGGAACAGTGTGAATATCTGGTCCACACATCCACGTCCAAGTCTGAAGCTAGCCTGTTTTTCTCGAGTCTGCACTTCACGATCTTTGTTTAGGCGTCAAAGTATTATCGAAGCCAATATTTTAGACACGATATTAGTCAAGCTGGTTTCTACAAACAAATCAACCTTGTCAAAAATTCTCAGCACCCACTCCCATTCGCTGATGGCTTTCGATGACCGCCGGATTCCTAACACCAATTTCCTTGCTAAGTCTGAATAGTTGTCTACTTATCGTGTTCAGATTCAGTGTTTTTTCAGTAGACGCTACTGAAAAACATTGATTTTCACACGCGTTTTGGCAGATATCACTACTGTTTTAATAGACCTTTGGATATCGTCCCAAGTTGTTTCAGGATGATTGTCACGGCTGTGTTTGATAAACTGTTTCTTAGTTGTCCCTAAAATACATTCTCGGCTTATTCTACCATTAAGGGGTCTCCTAGCTTTATCGGGAACTATGTGTTCTGATCCTGTCTCAATGTACTCCGTTTTTAGTTTCTACTTTGGATCCTACTCAGAAATCTTTCATGCCTTAACAAAGACATATGTATCTTATGTCAAATTTCAGGAAGAACATTCGAAAAATGTAGTGACAACAATAAATCAGTAGGGTACAACAAACAGGAGGCGGAGTTGCTTTATATATAAACAGCCAATTAAAAGCCGAACAGCTATACGAAAACCAACTAACTGATATGAAATAATCACGTTGATGATTTTCCACGCAAAGTACTTGATTGGGGGATCTATTGTCCTCCCCATGCTACCTAGGCTGAGGCAATACTGCAACTGCCACTACTGGGGTCCATAAAATAATAGGAATTAGTGACCATGACACAGACTTGTTTAACGTGGTCATAAACGAAGCACTCACATAGGACGAAAACGCACCCTATCTTTGCTACAGTAGGGCAAATTACAGGCGTTTGAGAGAGATCATTCTGCACGCCCCATGGCCATGGGAGTTCTGGAGTCTGACAGAAGATGATCACGCAAACAGTGAGAGACATAATTCAAAATGCTTTCCTTAGCAGTTCACCTCAGTCTCACTACACACCTGGAAATAGAAGAACGTATGTTAGGCTCGGCTCTGAACGCTTACTACAGGCAAAGAGGAGAGAATAGCACAAATTTGAGGTCTCCGTGAAGGTTTCCGATCGAAGTTCTTACATTCAGTAGCAGATTCAATATCAAAGTTCAAAGCGATAGGAGACGCTTTCAAATGAAGCTAGCTGTCAAAATACAGGTAAACCCTAAGCATCGGTTCACGTTCATGACTTAGTGAATTCCTACTAATCAAGGTTTGTGTTCTCTCAAAGGTTCGAATGGAGAAGACCTCAGCAACCTAGAGACGGCTAAGATCTTCAACATAAACTTTACTGAGCAGTTAAGCCAGGCATCCACATGTTCAGAATACTATGCGAACCATGTGCCAGATGACGATTTAGGGAATATCCGTATCACTCCTGACTTAGTACTAAGGAAACTAAAATCCTTACGCCCAGGAAAGTCACTAGGTTGTGACAATAGTCATCCCATAGACTTGAAACAATGTGCAAAAGTCGTCTGTTCATCGATATGTGACCTGTTCAGGCATTCAGCACAGTCATGCCAAGTCCCAGCTGAATGGAAACAAGCTACTCTCTCTCTCTCTCCATTCTTGAAAGTAGGAGATAAGAAGGACCTAGCTCGTTACAGACCATTCGCATTACTACCAATACTATCAATGGTTACGGAAGTTCATGATTGAACAAATGAAGAAGTAGATGGATTAGAATAAAATACTCCAAGAAGCTCAATACGGGTCTCGGAAAGGCAGTACGCGTGAATCTAATCTTTTCATAGCATGGGACAGTTGGACATAATGTTTCGACCGTAAAATACCGGGGCACGTAATATTTCTGGACTATGCAAAAGCCTTCGGCACAGTACCCGACGCACGCCTAATCGCGAAGATTATGGAAATGGGCTTAACACTATATAGAGGACGCAGCCAAAACTAAAATAACGCCTAACAACTTGGTGCTGTTACCCCACAATTATTCTTGACGTAGTTTAAGACATACGCACTTCCATACTTTGAGGTTTACAACGTAGTTGAACACTCTACCCTGAAAAGAGACATAAATCTCTTGGTTCGAGTGACGAAATTGGTGATAAGGTTGACGAACAATACTTAAGACAGACTGCAACACTTGGGGTTATTCTCCCTGAGATACAGAAGAACCAGAGGTGATCTGATCATGGCGTACAATATCATAAACACTCAAAACCATTCCACCGTGAGCATTTTACGGATGCATCACCACTCTGCCGCTCCATGTAATCGTCGTATAATTGCACATCAGAGAGCGAATACTCAAGTTCGTTCACACTTTTTCTCATCGACAGTCAATTCAACATGGAATGCTCTCCCAGACAAGTTGACCACAGACCCCTCGGTGGAAAGAATTAGGAAGAGACTTGATAGCACCTACTCATATGCGGATTACAATACCCCTCTTTTGGAAGGAAAGTTCATCCTATAGATAAAATTTTTACAACTGACATGTTTTCGTTTTCCAAAACTTTAAACTGAAAAGCATTTCTTTCCTTAAACTCTAGATGGGAATTCTCGATGGTGAATACTCTTACTTCTCACAGCCCTTCCATATAATATTCTTTGTTTAAATTCCTGCTGTGCCCTTGACATCAGAAAGCGGTAACCCTGATGGCGACGCCTGCTGATATTCTGTCAACCTTCAAAAAGGATCTAGAAAATCTTAAAGACAATGATAAGTACAAAATCAATGCACTGACCATCTATGCAAGAGATAATAAAGACATTGTCGGGGTTGCTCAAAGTATTGTCGATATTACTATCAAGCATGTTCAAATGGTGAGTTATTTCGTATCTAATTCCTTTTTGTGTCCTGTGCATACATGTACAGATGAAAAAGACCAATAAATGTTTTTTTCAGTTTCGAATTTTTTGAATCTTATGGGTGCTGGGTTAGGCCGAAGCGATATCAATTGCTTAGGTGCTTAATCTAGCCTTCGTATTTGCGTACATACTTAGCACTTCGTACGTACATACATCAGTTCAAGTTGCCATACCGAAGTAGCACAAAGACTCAGTTTTCAATTGAGATCCTATAGTAGTTGAGGTAGTTAAAGTATCAGCAGTAATCGATGTTACTAGGGTTCGAAGATATTCACGAAGTACGATCTGATAAAATGAACAAATAGATATGACGAAAGATCCAGAGGATTAGGATTTGAGATAGGTTGAGGATGGATGCCCTCACAACACTTTAAACGGTTTAGAGCCACACTACTGAAGGTCTCTAACCCGACCGTAGCTGCTACCTTGACGTGGTGGTCGGGCTTGCCTATTGTGATGACCCGATAGAGCTATATTGGAGAGAACATGATTTTGACTTAGGTTCTACCATGCCAGGCAGTTTTATTGGAGAACGGTGAAACTAAAAGCAACAAATTGAAGGTCTGAGGCCGAAGTCGTGCTGCTGACTGCCAGAGGGGTGTGACAGCAGTAAGGTATTTGCCCCGGACAATCATTTCCTGCACTTTACAAATTCCCCACAAAAGGGGCCTCATGTAACTGGTTCTCAAGCAGCTGTTCCTTGGGCTCTGCGATCACGCTCCCTAGGTCGCTCAGACTAATGCTTAGCTGATTTCCCTTTCAGTCCCTCAAGAAGTATGCTTCCACAAATTGGACAGACTGTTTCCCAGTAGACAGTCCACTTGTGTGGTGTCCGACAAAACGAGACAGTTAAGGACTCGGAAAGAAGTAGGAAACGTTCCTGCCTCCTTGTTGTCTCTGCCTACGATCCCAGTGACTGCAGATCGGACGAGGTTAAGTTGCTAGTTCCACTGTAGGACTTATTACTATACATACACTGACCGAGGCCTTTGTGGAAGCTGCAGCACAGAGCCTACAAGGTACGACTTCGGCGTAACCAAAATATGTTCCTTTGTGTCTGGACTCGGACGAGAGTCAAAACTAATTGTGTCCCTTACTTGGATACGGTACCATAGCGTTTCGGGGAACGGCAGCATACATCGATTTAGCCCACGGGATTTCCACAGTCTTAGCTTAAGGAAGCTTGTTGCGCTACTTGACACAATGTTAGAACATGAAAAAGCTCTCCACGTGTGTTTTAGAGTATGGGTTTCAGGAGACCAGGAATGACATAACTTGAATCGTTTGCATTAGTGGCGCTTGGTGACAAAGGAACGAAAGAAGGGTTGGTCATGGAGGTAAGAGAGTTACTAGGTCAGCGGTACGACTTGTACTCGGACCGTTCTCCAATCAACCTGCCTGGTATGTTAGAACCTAAGGGAACATAAGTTCCCTTGAATATAGCTCGGTT